CGTCTGGCCAGTTTCAAGCGGCATCAGCAACGCTACAACTAACTCTTTGGCGACTGCCCACAGGTCAACACGCTGACTTCCGTCGTAGAACTAAGAAACCCTGACTGGCACAAGGATTTCCGCTTCAGATCAACAAGTGGTTGCTTCTGGGCGGCGGCAACGATGCAGTCTCTGGCAAGCCCGGCTCAAGGTTTCGCCAAGGTGCCAGCAAAGCAAAGACCACCACGGCGGCAGCAAACATCCTCTCCAAGATGTTTGAAGGCGCTATATCTTGCGTTGATGGTGTGAATTGAGTCAGGCTCCAGTGCAAAGACACCGGGTACCTGGGCCGGCTCCCCAAAACGCCTCATGGCCAACCGGCTGGCAATTTCAATCCCAAACATGCGCAATAAAAGCCAGCTCAAGAATGAGATGCAGCTCCAAGAAGTTGTCCGAGCTGACCGAATGCTGGTGTGCCCAGGAATCATTGCTCTCATTGAAGTAGGCCAATGCGCACCATGCCTGGGGACAGCTGCGCAGAACAAAAGGGCAAACCAGCTGGCATAGGGCCACTTCCGTGGCCAAAGTGGTTGCGAGAGTTTGTGGTGTTATGGTGTGAGAGTCATTTAAGCCAACTCCGTGCCATTAACTTCCAAGTGCTCCTGTTGCACTGCTTGTGGCAGTGGGGGCCACTCCTGCAACAACCGCTCCCTCACGGCAACGTATGCCCACAACTTCCTGCAAGCTTGGACCAGGTGCGCAGGCAATGTAGTGATTGACCTGAGTCAAACTCAGCATTGATGCCCGGATATCAATTACGCATGCCAAGTGGCAAACAGGATGAGGATAGTCAGCTTGAGCAAACTGACCCTTGGTGTGAGCGGTGTGCCAGCAGCCAGCACACGAAGCTCACATCAACTTGCAGAATGCATGTTGGCCGAGCGTCAGAACTACAAGCAAGGGGGAGCGGATGTAGTCCACCAAATGTGCAACGGCAGCCTTGGCAGCATTTGCCAGGCAGCTAGGGCACAGCCTGCAATTTCAGAACCTTAAATAAGACCGTCCCGGCTCATGGGCAAGCCTAATCTCCAGGTGTCGCCAGAATCAGACCCTGGTATTTTCAAGTGGGCTCTACCACCTAAAGGACCAGCCCGCCGGTTTACCGTTGGGCTTGTCCTGCGGCTGTGCTTGTGACGCCATTACACTTGGCGACGCCGCGGCGCTGAGGCCTTGAACAGCCGCACCAGCCGCAGGAGCCGCAAGAGCCGAGAGAGCCGGGCGACTCTGCTCGCTCGGAAGCTCCTCAAGTGTCATTCCAGAAGCTTGAAACGAGTGTCTTCCATATTCGAGCCCTCAAGGCCGGCCGGACTTTCTGTAGAATTGTGAAGTTTGAGGTTGGTGGGGGACAACTGTTTGAGCCTCTATTGAAAGCAGGCATGTCCTCGTGTCAATTGAGTGGTCTTATTTGCAAGATCTAGCGAGTGTGTCAAACCTACAGCCCTCAAACTGATTGGTATCATGTTGATATGTTAGAACCAAAGCCATGCCAAGCACTTTGTGCCGCGGCGAGGGTGCATAAATGGATACGAATCCGCAGGGCAACAAAGCAGCCCATTTGCCGGCATTGACACATGGGCAGCGTGCCCAGCTTGCCGACCGAACATCAGTCATAGGTAATCGCCAGGCCGCTGCGTGCCGGCCACGGCTGCCATGTCTGGGTCTGATCCCACCTGAGTCTCACTAAGCTGCATCTTGTTTAGCACCCAAATTCATGACATACGGCCATGGGTCCAAATCTCGTACCCCCGGTGAACATCCCAAATAGAGTAAAATGGGTGGTGCACCTGCTGGAAAAGGGTACCATTGGTTTTGACCCACAGCCATATCAAGCTTGAAGCGAAGAATGACCTCTGGCCCACCACGGCTGGTGCAACACCCATTGGAACACAAGAAGGTCAAAAGCAGAAGTCAAGGAAACAGTGCATATCACTCTTCGGACTTTATCAAGGATGCTGGTGGCAAGCTGCCATCTGCCTTGCAAGCTTCAACAAGCCAAGCAGCAATCGTCACAGTAACATCTGTGAGGATCAGCAAAGCGTCCGGGAAGCACCAGCTACGCAGGTAGTCGTGAATGCAGGCCCGCGGGCGAAAGTCAAGGACCCCGTCTCGGTTCACAGCCGTGAAGCAGCTGATAGGCATATCCACGGCCCAAAAGAACAGCATCACCACGTTCATGCCATCCAGGATCTTTGTAACGCCTCGGCCGCCAGCAAATAAGAAGATTCTGCCCCATTGAACAGACCAGCCACGCAAAGGGAGCAGCCGGGTAGCTTCCGAGGTCAAAGAAGTGCAAGGGTAGAGTGAGCGCGTCCCAAAGCACAACTAGGAGTACTGCAATGCCCCAGGCAAACTTGGCCCAGCCTACAGCATCCACCCAAGCAAGCTGCCAATTGCATGAGGAACCTGCACATCCCTGAAGCTTTTCTAATTTCTACTGCAAGCATTGGAAAATCAATGCTTTCGCCAAGCAGCCATCAGGATGCAAAACGAAGAACTTGCTCCTGTCTGCACAGCTCTTTACAATCACCTGCCAGCATGGCAAAGCTCGCGCTCTCTCTCTCTCTCTCTGATGAGCGCTTTTTTTCTTGCCCCAAATCACAAGTTTCTGCCTCCCGGAGCTCTTCTTCCGGTGTGCTTGACCGGCCTCCGCAAGGCAAAACGCGCTGCTTGACCCCCCCAACCTGGGCCGCTTGCCCATGTTTGTTCAATGCATCTGCAGGCTGCCACCTTTGGCCAAGCAAAGCCCAATCCCCCCGTAATAAAAGGCTAACCCTTTGGCAGCTCCACTAAAAATGGGCCAAAACGGGGGGGAAAAACCAAAACAATATCAAAAGGTCGGCTTTGGGAAACTGAGCGATGCCACATGCCATTTGGGTTTGGGCCATCTTTCTGCACTCCGCCTTCCATCGAATCCTGAGTGGCGATTGCGTGGCCGAAACAACACCCTGCCATGCGGGCATGTGCCATGCCGAAACCCTTCGTTCACTTGTCTTTGGCTGTGTGTCACTCTGCCATGCCCAAAAGTTGTCGCCAGTTCATGCCAAGCTTCCTGGGTCAGTGTCAGCCTTGGAGTAAATTGCCATGGAATCCTGCGGGATTGCAGCTTTCAGCAGAAACGCGGTGCTCTGACACACGCACACACAATGAAGCATGTGAGCTACGGCAGTTGACGTGGCAATGTGCCCGGCCTGGGTCGCACCTGCAGCTTGCTAGGACGTACCAGTGAAGGGTCCAGCTCTGGCAATGGATCGCAGAAACCTGCCAACCAGTTCACCCGAAGGTCTGTGAGACCGCATTCATGCTGCACATGTACCAGCAACTCAGCATGGGGGCCCTGGCCTAATTTTTCCATCACAGCGTGCCAATGGTACACAGCTCGTCGGCCAGTCATCTCCTTCATGGCAAGGCTAGGGCGCGCATCGGAGCGGGAAAGCAGTTGGCAAACGTCGGTAGCGTTTTGGGAGATCTGCGCAGCCCAAGTTGCCAGGCACTGCTGTGGCCTGGACCGACTTGCAACACCTTGCTTCATAGGGCCTACATAGCCTACGCTGCTGCCGCAGGCCTGACACCGACTGCTTTTAAATAATTTTGAATTAGTCCACCCTCAATTTTGGACGCACGTGTCCTTCATGTCAGCTTCCAGCACATCTCGGGGTGGTTTCTCTTTCCTTTGCTGATTCAGCACAAGACTTAGTGCCCTTGTGCGGTGACTGTGGACAATGCAAATGACAGCGCAGTGACAAGCTGCCCAAAATGCCATATTTGTGGCATCCATGGAGGATCACACATATGCTTGCCGGTGGGTTATAGAAGCGGCACTCTATCATCAGTGTTCTTCCACACGCACGGTTTTGCCCTACTGTCTTCACACCTGCCCAGCATCTCCAAGTCATCCGAGGAGAACCATCCAGCCTTTGTTGTGGCCTCCCGGCATGCGGTGGCAAACCCGCGATGCTCTTTGCCGCGGGGCCCCGCGCCCCGCCTGTCTGCTCAGCTGGCGGGGCATCGAGTGCACGCTCCGCACCGAGGAAAGGCGCCCGCGCTGCTGGACATGGGTGTCCTGCACCTGTGCGCAGGTAGTTGCGCACACACACACACACGCTGATCTTTTAGTTTTTGTTTTTTGGGAGGTAGTCTTGTAGTTTTTTTGGCGGCAGGGGTAGTCTGCAGCTTGACACAGTGAATCAAGCCCCCAGTGGGAACCCCCAGCCGAAGGTCAGCACACAGCGGCTGGGCAGATTCTGAGCATGCCACATGGAAGGCCAGCAGCTTGGTCTTCAGAAGCTCCAGCTCCTCCTTCAGAAACTCCTGGCATCACAGCACGCCGATTTCGCATGGACCAAACTGCGCAATCAGACCCCGTGATATTCGGAATGCGTACAACCCAATCAGTTGATGGGCCTTTGGAAAAAGCCAGTCGTGACTTAAGTATGCTCCCACTCCCCCTCTGCTGCCTCAAAGGCCTCGTTGCCCTCCATGATAGCATGGCAAACCAAGAGCCATACGCTGCGCAGATCTGGCAACTACTCCACGCGCATGGAAGCAAGACCCTTTCCAACAGGACTGGGGCTCTGAGCTTCTGTGGCGACCAGCATCTCACGAACACAAGCAGAAATCAGTCGAACTGCTTTCTTCCTCATTCCTCCATTTGCGCTCCAAAACTAGCTGAGCCGTGCGCGGCGGGGCTTATGACAACCCGCTACACAGGCATTCGGCCAGCCCTTTCCTGCGGTTCCTTGGCCATGGGAGGCCCGGGAAAACGTGCTCAAGTGAGCTCTGCGCGATATTGCGTGCGCCCCTCACGCCTCTTCCATCTGCACTGGCTCCTTGAGTGACATATGCTGGACCCGAAGCACGATTCGTTCATCTATGCTTAGCAGAACCAAGGGTTTGGCATATGCCATGGTCGCCAAAATGGATGCTCTGGTGCCTTACATCCTGAACAACGAAAAATAATTCACCCAGCTCACTTCAGTCCTTGGCTCTTCCTGGCAATGTGCAAAAAAGACAACGCTTCCACTGCAAGCAAATTCCCCAAGCAGTGTAGCTTCCTGCTAGTTGCGCAACATGCATGGGTTTGCCGGGTGTGCCTTCTTCCTCGAAAACAAGCTTGACCTGAGGCACATGGTGAACGCATGCCACAATATGATCATGGAACTCGCTGACCTACATGGGACATCTAGACTAACAAGGCAGGAGTATATCAAAGTTGGTGAGGCAATGTCAGGCAACATGCGCACATGCGTACGTTGATGGCTTTTCTCGCCGTTCCATGATTTCCATCCTCACGCCGGTTTGGCTCAACTGTTGCCATATTTCAACGCGCTGGAACGCTGTGACATAGAGACGTCGGTTGCTGCGCTACGAGCCGGTCACAACAAAGGTTGCCGGGTTACTGCTTGAGGTTGGCGAGTCTGGCCAGCACCGGCACTTGCAGTGCCAGCCAGCCAGCCAGCCAGCCAGCCAGCCAGCCAGCCAGCCAGCCAGCCAGCCAGCCAGCCAGCCAGCCAGCCAGCCAGCCAGCCAGCCAGCACCTTTGCGACAAGAGAAAGCGTTGCCCCCCTACCTTCGGCAGACTGGAGATGAGGACTAGCCAACGTGCTGACAAGCCCATGCCAGCTGGCCCGGGTCTCAGCAACGGGAACAGCTCCAGCCACCTGTTGATTTGCAAGGCCGCGCCAGCGACCAAGTTTTTTGGCACGTGGCCGAGCGGCTGATGGCTTTGAGGTCCTTGTGTGGCATAAATTTCTCACAGGCAATCGATGTTTGCCTTGAGAAAAGCTGCTTGCGGAGAAGTGTGTCCCTGTGGTGCTCAACCAAGTTGAAACCACCGCATAGCATAGCATGACCCGGACTCAACCGGTAGAAAATCCTGGCACAAACTTTACCATGCCGAATTAGCAGCCAGTGCTAGGCAATCGTCTAGCTCAATGCACAAGATGTGGGCACAAACAGCTGGCAGCGAATCAGACCAAATGGCAGCTGCAAACGAAGTGCAGGGATACGGCTTGCAGCAGATTGAGCGTGTCACTGTTTCACACATTGACTTTCCAAGGTTCCCGGCATTCCTCGCTTGCGGCATGTTCTTGGAATTGACCTGCACAGGTGCCGTGTCCAGTCAGGCCACTGATCGGACTACCAAGATGTAACGCCCACCTGAACTCCGAAGGTGACCTGCTTGCCTTGCGTCAAGTTGTTTTTCTCTGCTTCGTTCTTGTGCAAGAAGACGTCACCTTGGACATCAAGAAAAGCATAGTTTCTGGAACTCCACCTTTCAGAGCCCTCTTTTCGAGCGCTCATGTTCATTGTCTCAAATCTACCAGAAGGTCTATACTGACTAGGCATGGCCCGGCTGCCAGCAGTAGTTTCGAAAAAACTGGACGGCCAGCCGACTGCTCAACCGCGCATCCGAAGCTCAAAGCAGCTCTGGAAATTCCATAGGCATCCGTCAGAGTGTGTACATACACGCCCAACCGGCCACTTCACGTGATGAAAGTCAACACATGCAAGGTCACCGCACGGGGGCTGCTGGATTTCAGCCTCTTGCCTCTTGGGGCATGACAGTCTAAGGGTAACCTGGTAAACGCATGTGCAGGATACGGAAATTGGCAGCTGTCCAATTTCCAATTGGCCTTCGGCTGGACTTTGGCGCATTCGGCAGGCAACTTAGGCGCCCTGCCCCGGAAGATGAAATGCGTCTCATCACACGCCTGGCGTGCACAAGAGGCTGTGCAAAACTGCACTCCTTGATGTAACGCAAACAAGTCTGGCTGGAACTGAAAAAAAAGGCCCATAAATGCAGGACACCGCTGAACATGCATCTCCAGTGTGGACAGCGAAGGGTCAATCACCGTGCGTCGCCTTCAAAGTTCCGTAAACCAATTTCAAAATGCTACCCGCGTAAGCAAGCCGAACGACAATGAAGCCAAAGCCCTTCTCTGGCCAGTACTCCTTGACAGTTCCCACCTGACCAAAGCGCTTTCAGCAGATGGGTTTGTCCCAACATAGGGGAACTCCAAAATAGGTGGTTCTCCAAACAGTGTGCCTGCACTAAGGCATTAGGGGATTCTTACCGTAATGGCAAGGTCCGGGGTCGAACCGGGTGCTCGCTGTGGGTGGCGCGTTTCGTCTGCGCAGGTTCGCGCCAAAGTTCACCTGTTCACTTTTGAGACGTTCATGTGCATTTCAACTTCGCAGGCTCGCGCCAAGTGCGTGGACGAATTTGGTGTCATTCAGGGGTGCGCTCTGTGCTGTGCGAAGTCTGGAAATGGCAAATTGGTGCACCCTCTACGGACTTTATCGTTCTGACTGTCGCGGTGTGCATTTTGAGCGTCGAAAGTGGGCCACCTGCAGACCTTGGACTGGGTGCGTTGAATCGCTGGCTGCTGTGGCGCGGTGTGAGCCCTCTGCGGACTTCGGGTGGGACGGATGGCTCTTGTTGCGGCGTGTGCCTGTCAAGGCACTCTTGCAAGAGATCTTGTGCAGGTTGCTCCCTAAGATGAATCCTGCGCACGGATCTTGTCAAGAAGTTCCTACCAAGAGATCTTGCGCAGAGATCCTGCAAAAGTCCAGGGAAGCCTGCATATAGAGAAGGCTTCCTCCTGTGCACAAATTTGCCAAGAGACCCTACCGAAAGTCTGCACATGTCTTGCGCAAAAAACGCTACCCAGAAATCTTGCGCAAAGATCCTGCACTGTAAAAGAACCATTCCAAGGATATCTTGCGCCGGTCGGATCCTCTCGATGCATAGAAGCTGCCCCCTACAGACTTCCTACCCGGAGATCCTGTAAAGATCCCCCCACAGATCTCGCGCGCTGGTCCTTCGTAGGAATCCTCTCAGCAGATCTTGCCATAGATTTCATGTCGTGAGATCTGGCAGAGGATGCACCCTACAAATTCTGAAGGCAGAGCTTGTAGGGCCTTCTCGGAGATTCTGTGCACAGATTTCGCCAAGAGATCCAATCAAGAATCATATTCACAGATCCTGCAAAGACCCTTCCGCAAAGATCGTGCCCAGGGCTTTCTACAGAAACACTACTAGAACTTCTCTCAGGGAAATCTTGCGCGGAGCCTCTTTTCACAGAATACTTTTCATAGGAGCTTTCAGAAGCCTTCTGTTTGAAGATCACGCTCAAGCTGTACAAAACCAAGTGAGCATCTGCTGCGGCGACTTTCATGTCACCTGCGTGGATGTCTGACAAAGCTTTCTAATCAGTTTTGACCACTGCTTGGGGTCGCTTGGCGGGATAATTTCCTTTGGGTCTCCCTTAAACACCATCCCAGAAGGGTAGCCTCCAAAACAACGCCCAACAGGAACGCTTGCAGAGGAAGCAAAGGAAAGCTTGCAGCATCAAACGATGTATGTGCAGCTCACCCTGAGGCAATGGCATACACCTTACTGAGGTCAACCCAATGCCTGGGGAGCGGCCGAGCTCGACACTCCAATCCGTGCCCAAACCAAGGGCCATACGAACCGAGTGTGAATGTACTCAAGTTCCACAAGTGACAGCCGACCTGCCCTAAGGCACTCGAGGCACTCGAGGCACTTGAGCCCCTGACCCCCCAATACGTTGCTCTACCTCAGGAGCGCGCAGCTATGCGGGCTGCTCAAATAGCGAGGCTCTGAGGCGAGCGCGTTGCGAGCTTGAGGCTTGCCAGCCTGGCAAAAAAAGTTGTCATAGCCCAGCCGCTTCCCGGCACCGCAGCGCTGCTGCCCACATGAGAAAAGGCACCAACTTCGACAGGGCAAGGCTCTTGAAAGAGTCGTCTTCACACTCTTGTCTCCCTGACTTGCGAGCCTTGTTCAAGCCTACCTGGAAGCGAACTTCGTTGCCTGAACTGGCCAGGTGTCACGAGAAGGTCTGAGTCGCGGGGCAAGCCAAACGGAAGTTAAGTTGAAAGGCCTGCCAGAATCCCCATACCCGGGGTCAGACCGCACCCCACCGTTTCCAGATTTCACCCTCCTTTCTCCCAAATGTCCACGACAAAGAGCTGAGCTGCTGACCCGAATAGCTGCGGCCCCTCAGCGGGCAAGTGAGTGGCGACGAGGCGACTGCCAATCAGTGAACGCCCAGCTGCCAGCTTCAGACTGGATGCTTCTGCGACGGCTCTGAAAAAGAGCGATTTTGGATGCGTTCCTTTATCCAAGGTGGCCATGACTTTTGCAGCGAATCCAGAGTGCAGGGCCCCAGGTGCTCGTTCACCTGTATTGGGTCACGCTGGCCCGCACTTCAAGCTGACAGCACCACCAATTACCAAATGACTCCAGATGACCCCAAAAGAATGTGCCTGCTTCTTGTGCAAGAACACGTCTGCCTGTCCAAAGTGGAAAGCGATCATGTCAGGCAAAGGGGACCGAAAGGAAACTAACAAGCCAAGCTGCGGAAGACCCTGCTACATGTTTGTCGGTCAGGCTTGGCATGGGGGTTACCCGGATTGAGACGGGAAAGGGTGCCCAAGCAAAAACAGTTTTTAATGGCCTCAACTGATCCTTGTCCAAGCACCAGGGCCCCAGGGCTTCCATCAACCTGCCCCGTCCTCGTACTTCGAAAAAAGCTCATCGCATCTAATGAAGCCAAAACCTGGCTCCAAGAAAAAGGCGGCAACAGTTCAGGTAGCTGTCTTGGCCCTGTGGCCTGCCAAGAGCCTGAATTCACTGCATGCAGTGATCCACTTTGTTGACGCCTTGCCTTGCTCTGGGTTGTAGCCCTTGACGGTGCCATCCTGGGTATGCACGTGGCAGCCATTCGGCGTCTGTCAAGCGCAGATGGCGATGGCTGGCCCAATCCAGACATTTGAAGGTGCACGCAGGCCGGGATGATCGGGGAATTCTCTTGAGAGCTGCACGTACCACGTGTCATCCACAGTTTCCTGCATTCTTGAGACCCGCTGCATGATTCAATGATGTCTGTCGTGGCGTGCATGGAAGGCTTAGGGTGGATTTCTTGCAGCAAGCTGCGAGCTGGGAACTGCTTAGCAAAACCCATGGCCCATGTCCTTCACTCGACTCTTCTTTGGTGCCTGCGTGCAAAGCAATGCAAAGCTGGGAAGTCGGGCGGGAGTGTTGCCAGGGAAGGTGCTGCCGCTTTTGAATGTTTCCTTTCTTGGCACTGTTCAAAGGGAGCTGCTACAGCAAAGGGTGTTGCAAACCGGGTCTCCTGTGCCAATATGTCAAAGTCAAATCACAGTGTGCACCGCCACGCGCGGCGTCTTCTTCTGAAATTGGAAAGTGGGACTCTGCGCGAGATGAGCCCTGCCAAGTAAATTGTGTACACCTACTTTCAGCCACTCAAAATGCAGCGCATGCGGGAACGCCTCTCCCCATTGTTTCGCTGCAACTTTTCCAGCCTTCGAATCCCTCTCACCCTTGTCTGGCATGGGTGAACTCCTCTCAAACCTTTCGAACGTGGTACCTTGCTTGCTCACATGTGCGATTCCCGCTTCAAGGACAGCATGAGTGAACACATGCTGGGCATCAACATCTCCAAGTCTCTGGAGACTGGGCCCCGAGCCATCGTCGCCGACCAGTTGTGCGCGCAGAGCTGTCTGTTCACGCACCGAACTGACTGAAATCTCCACCTTTGCTTAGGAAAGACTTGCTCGCCAAGCCTTGGGCAGCAAGCTGAAGCATACGCCTCGCATCTTGCTGCGGCTGTCGCACATGTTGCAGCTGACAAGAAGTCAAGCTCTTGGCCTTGCAGCGATGCTAGCGCCAGCAAGGCGCGGCGCATGGCCTGCATGACGCTTGAAGCTTGGCAAAAGAGAAATGGGATGATTGGTTGGCTCTCAGTAGCCACTCTCTTTCTTGTGCCCTTCGCTGACAATTCCTCCTTTCATCCTGTGTGCCGAGGTCCCATTTCGTTTCAGACCGCGGGTGAACTCCTGGGCCCGAATTCAGAGAGCCCGTGCCGTGCGGGTGGTTTGCCTGTCGCCGCTCCATGCTGGTGCGAGGCGCCATCTGGCTGTCAAAACCGGCAAGGGGTTCAGCTGAGCTCTAGGCGCATGGCTCACAAGGGATGAAGGTTTTTCAAGGGACTCAAGATGTTCTGTGTCAGCTCTCAGTTCCCCGTGCTGCAGCCAAAGCCCTACGGTCCAACGGTGCTCCGCTTCGCACCTCATTGCCCAACTGGACACCCTTTCCATGGACGGAGGCAAGCACATTTTCGACCTCGGCGCACGGGCATGATGCTCTAATCAAGAAGCCAGCTGCATCTCTGCCAGGCTCAGCGAAAGCGAGTTGATGGGGGACCGGTCTCACACTTCTGCCTTTCGCTTTGAGAACATTGAACAGTGGCTGGAATTCAACAAAGCCTTGGCGTTGCGGGTTTGGTCTTGCCTTGCAATGCATAACGGACTTCACCTCGTCCCAGTGTCCCATTCTCGGGAGACTCCAAGGGGTGCAAATACTCCTGGTCTTTCTGGCATAAGAGCCCAGGCTGGCAGCTGGTTGGCCCCAATGATCTCCAGAGAGAGCCCGCTTTGGCGAGTCACCCCTCTCGGAGGTCTAAGGTGCCAAACTTCCTTTTCGCGGCGCTGGTAAAATTTGCTCGTTGGCCCGGGGCCTTCTCGGCAAATCATGCCAAGGAGCCTGAGGCGGTTGATCGCCCTGCTTTTCCAAAGGACGTGGCACCTTCCCACAAGAGCCACCCTAGGTCGCCTATGAGAGCTGCAGGCTCTGTACCGAAAACCTGCAGGCTCAAGGCAGGTTGCGTTCTGTGGTGCCAGGCTAGCAGCACATCGCCAAGTGCTCGCTCCGCACTCTGTGCAGGGCCACGCACCGTGGCTTGCTAACAAAGCCCATGCCGAAAACGCCAAGCTCGGGTCTCCTTAGCCTTGTGCGCCATGCACTTCACCAGATTGACTTGTACAACCCAGCTTGCGAATTCCTGAATCAGTGCCGAGTCATGCGGACACATCGCCGCGGGCCCAAGTGATTGAACACGCAGCCAGGAATGCCACAGATTTGAAGTACCCCTGAAGGCTTGTTCAGCCCGAGGCGCGCCCCACATCTCCCTGTACAGCTCGGCACCAGAAGTTCATGGGACTCCAGAAGCCCTGGCACGGCCCATGAACCATTCGCGGGGATTCGATGGCCAGCGCCATCGCCAGGGGCTGGCCCAAGGTCTCTTAAGACTCTTAAGTGTGCCTCCTTTGGATGGTACTCTTGTCAGGTTGGAAGGGAAGCCATCATGTTGGGGCTCCCTTTGTTGACCAATGCCCAAGTGCAGCCCTTTGGAACTGATTTGATTTGAAGCCCCCTTCCTGCAAAGTGCAAATAGCACGTTGCATGCTCAAACCAGCATGCCGTCTCACGCTTTGGGAATAGCCAGGCGAAGGATGGAGGAGAGTCATTCTTGTTTCCCTGAACAGTCCCCAGTTAACACCAGAGGCTGCGCGGTTTGAGAGGGCCAGCCCTCAGCTTACGGCGCTGCCGACATGACTTCCAAAAAGAAGTTGAACATTTGTTTGGCCTCAGAGCCACATCTTCCAAGTCTCAACACGCCCCAAATCTGAGGTCTGTGACAATTTCTCGTGCGCGCCTGTGCGAAAAAAAGGGACTGTCTGGACATATGGTTGCTTTGCCATTTTCATTTGCAATGCTCTGAGGCCTGCCCTCCTACATGATGAGTCCCTGCTTCGGAGCACATGCGATGCTGTCAGAGAGATCTGCAACCTGCTTGCGCTGGCGCAAATCCTGGATTGAATTAAGCCTCTCCTGCACCAGTCTTGCCAAGGCTGCTCGACTTGCTGCTAAACCAGGGCGACAACATTCATACTTCCCATTAGCATGACTGGAGCAAGATGTTAATTTGCACAGCTCAAAGGCGCATGCCCTCCGCTGTACGTAGCAAGGTGACCTTAGTCATGCAACCCGATATTTATGCTTCCCTGGAGAGGCAGTGTAATCAACTTGAGAAGGGGCATGCCGTGGCCATCCCAAAGCTTGCGAACCAGGAATTCCAAAGTGGACCGTCTAAACTAGGATCAGCACAAATCCGAAACTAAGACCGCAACGACTCTGACACTAGGATCACTAGGACCAAAACGATACTCCGCCCCCAAACCAACCCATAGCGCGTCGTCACGCCCAGTTGGCCCCAAACAACCCGTCAAGCCAAGCCAGCTTCCGGCAAAATTATTCTTCTGGGCTGCCCCACATGGAAAGATGGTGGAGCAACAGTCCAAGTCCAAGTGAGGTCACGTTGAATGACTTGCCCCCCTGGCAGTGGTGTTTCCACTTGGGCTATCCTGACAAACGCAACAGCGGCGCTAACTCCACGTCTGCAGCCGAGTGTCGCCTTCAGACCTGCCCGGCCTCAGCCAGTGCAGTGACTGTGCCCCATAACGCCAAACCGGCAAAGCCGAATGCTAGCCTTTGCTTTCGTATGTCTTTGCTTTCAAAACGGTTGAAGCACATCCTAAACGGCACACTCATGTAACAACTGCGCGACCCTTGATGCAGCCTTAAAATGTCAGCGTGGCAGAGTAGCGCAAATACCCATGATGCATCGAACCGGTTCCGGGCCACAGCTGCGCATGACTCTTCCCAACTGGGGCACACGGGCTGGCTGTTGGCCTGTTTGAGCTGTATCCGCTCCCGCTTGGCCTGCCTGCACGCAGCTCCACAGTGCAAACCAGTGCAAGCCAACCCAAACCACTTAGTGCCGGAAAGCATTGACAACATAACCCACAAGAACACCACTGTTTTGAGAGGGACTATTCCAGCCGACTGCCAGCCAATACTACTAAAACATGGCGGGCGCAAGGTTTTGCCCAAAGACCCCGCTGACTATGCTTTTGGAACATCCTAGAACCCCTCTGACAAAAGACGTCCCTTTCCGTCCCAAATCCTGAAAACCAAAAAACAAAACAACCCACAGCAATTATTAATCAACCAAAGCTATCCTCTTTTTTCCATAGTCTCAAGGGCTGCCATTCCAGACAAAAATCGGAAAAATGGCTAGCCGGATGCAGCACAATTTGTCTTGCAGTTTGTGCAGCAAAAGCCTCCAAAGTCTGGATTTCCGGACCTTGTCAACCTTGAGGGAGGGTGGGAGCAGGGGAGGGGAGGGTGGTTCATCATCATGTGCCTCCAATACTTTCCAAGCCCGAGAAGCCAACACCTGCCATGTACCTGTTGCGCCCCAGCCCCTAAACCCTTGAAGCCTCCAAGTCGACCGCATCAGCCCGGTGCTCCTGCCGGAAATTGCTTGCCTCCCGGTGGTAAACACGTGCGTTTCAGTGGCTGCAGACCAGTCCTGATTTGGCATCCAGGCGTGAGGGACTTTCATCCTGCGCTTGAAGGCGCGGCTGTACGTCCAGAAAAAGCGCGGCAGCCCAAGCGATCGCAGCGCAAGCCTGCCCTTGCCGGCTGAACGACTGTTATACCCTTCCGTCTGCTCAACTCTTGCGAAAAAATGACATCGAGCAGAATAGGTTCCAGCTCAGCTTTCAGACCTCTTGCCACATCTTGCAAGCCCAAACTCCTCGGCATCTCCAGCGCACAGCGGAAAGGACAGCGCCAGTCCTGCGTGCCATGTATGCAAAAGCGGGGGCAAAGGGTTCAGGCTCAGGTTTCAGATCAACACACGTCATGCCAATATACCTTCACATCCGTTCACATCACTAGTGCCCAGATCGAGTTAACTTTCAAGCAAACACAACAAAGCACAGCATCGGCAAGAAAGAGACTGGCTCCTCTAGCACCCACTTGTTGATGCACGGCGGATGGAAGCAGTGCCCACCTTGGCACACTCACGACTCACTTCAGTCCGGGGATCGCCGCAAACAGCGAGATGTAACAACACGAAACGCAACGGGACTACTTCTGGCGCAGAGTCAAACCCCCTGATCTTGTACAGCGCCCTCTGCAGCAGGCTCAATCATAATCAGCAGAAAAAGAAGGCCAGCAATTCGAGTGCTACCAAACGCGCCTCGCCTTGCTGTGCTTCTTACATTCGAATTCCATGCGTGGCGGCGCGGAAGAGATACGAGTTGATCTTGGGATCTGCTGGAAGCGCTTATGTGGGCCACATGACGCTGCTGAAGTTCGTGCGTGAAGCACAACGCGACGATGGCAAGGTGGGCATTTGCATTGGCAGATCTTGGCAGTTGCAGGCACCTACCTTTGCCTCGAAGGCAAGCGAGCTGAAGGAAGACCAAAACGTGAGCTTCACACGCTTTCGGCATATGGTCACAAAACAAGGCTGCAGGACTCACAGAGCCTGAGTCGGTCAGCTAAACCTGCACAGGCTCCCATGGAAGTTTCCACATGTGGAAGGCTTGAACAGAGATCAAGCAGCGAGTCAAACAACTTTGCTACGCTTCTTGATTCGTAGCCCCGCCTAACGTGGGGCCTATGCAATGTCTAGAACCAACCAGCAGCATCTGGCAGTTGATTGGCTGAGTGCAGCCGCAGAATCGACCGTGCTAAGCGAACCCAGTTGACCAGCCAAGTACGTGCAGTCTACGCATGCCTGCGTCAGACAGGCCTTCGGTTCATTCCCACTTACCGCCACCATCAAATATCTAAACGCAACAACAAATCAGTGGGGCTCTGCCCCTCAACACGCCAAGCGTGACTCGTTTTGAGCGCCTGTTCGGAGCATCCGAAATTGGTTTCCCATACATTTTTGAGAGGAGCCTGCGCACTCTTCCATGGGCGACTCAGCTCCATGAGGCAGACTCTTGCCAAGAATTCCTGGCGTCCAGCAGCCCAGTGGCTAAGGCCGCAGCAGGGCAGCTGCGCTACAGTTTCGGAAGCCTCGAAGTCTTCCAGGCACACCGCGCCTCAGGCGCAGGAGCGGCCAGCACAGAAACTCTCTCCACAGATTGCACCCTGGGAAAGGAAGGGCGTTGCGAGCAAAGTAAAGTTGCATTGACTGGAGTGCAAAGCTGCTCTACAGAAGGCCCCCGTGATGTGAGGAAAAATCTAGCCTGTTCAAAATCCCGGGGGCTGAATTACAATCCGTATTAGGCTTTATCCTTCTTTTGGTTGGTATGTAGTCTTTTTAATCCGCACGTCAAAACCGTAGAATGGAAAATCTTTGCAACACATAATCCACAATCCGCCAAGGCGTATAATCTAACCTGCAAACCGCGCAATCCGTCATCCACCAATCAGAAAGAGAGATAGAGAGAGAGAGAGAGAGAGAGAGAGAGAGAGAGAGAGAGAGAGAGAGAAAGAGAGAGAGAGAGAGAAACAGCTTTTGGTGAACAAGGGGAGGGAGGGGGGTGCCGGCGCGTTAAATCGCCCCGAAATAGCGCCTGGGTTGACACTAATCAAATACATAAAGACAATGTTCTGGTTGTCCCGCACCACCCGGACCCGAACCCGAGCCAGGCGAGAGCTGGCGCCACCCGGCGTGAGACCGATCGGCCAGGATGGCAGCAAAAGCACTCTGAGTTGATTGGACCTGCTGGACGCACACCAGCTGTTTTTTTTTTGACCTGGCTGCTGTTCACCGCCAAAGACACGATCTCCCCAGGTCAGTTGTGAGCCCGTTCCACCCGGGCGTGAGACCGAACCACCCATGGCTGCGGCTTCTGCCGCGCAGGCTCATCGTCCCGAAACGGAAAAAAGGAACGAACAAGAAAGAGAATCCGGTCCTTAGCGCCGCCCTCAAAGTCCCGGCCCACGCTTTTTCCCCAATAATTCCAGACAGCCCCCGGACCCACGGGTACACTGGTACTAAGGTTGAACAGAAATGCAGTCTCGCTCTCTGTCTCCGTCTCTGTCTCTGTCTCCGTCTCTGTCTCTTCTTTTTTTTTGGTCTCTGTCTCTGTCTCTGTCTCTGTCTCTCTCTCTCTCTCTCTCTCTCGTACTCTCTCGCCGCGATGTTTGCAAGGCCAACCGGGCAATGCCAAACAAGTTCTATGCCAATGTCTGGTCCGAAGTCCCAAGCCCATTTCCCGGTTGGATCTCGAAAGGTATCCCAAGCAAAGCACCTGGACCTGCCACGCGTCTTGTGATGGCCCGCCCCGCGCTGAAGCCGAGACAGCCCAACTCTTGTCGATTGTGACGACCGCAATTCTCACAAAAACACTTTGTGCTTTTTGGAGCGAGCTTAATGATAACTCTGCAGAAGCTCCCGAATTTCGATGGCACCAATTTGCCTGGGACAGCTGGATAGCGGTCACTTAGGATGACTCAAAGAGCTGGTTGACACGCTCAAAAAGAGCTCATGCCACAGCAACATTGTTTTCAGCGCCTTGCGCATCACACTCTCCCACACTGAAGCGAGTCATGCGAGGTGAGCTGAATATCCATAGCTCTGGCTCTTGGATTTCATGGTCAAACTGCTAGCTTGAACCTGTGTTTGCGCAGTGTCGATCGAACCAGTTTGGACCGTAGCGCTGATCAGAGACGGGTGATTCCGCGGCTTTAACCGGCACATGTGTTGCTCCAGAGTCGAAGCGTCAAGAGTCTGACGGAGGTGGTTGTTCACGTCGTCGGGTCGCGTCAGGCTTTCCCTCCCACGCATTGGGTCAGGGAGATGTTTGGTGAAAGCAAGGTTTTTGCAGCAGCCGTCGTTCCCGATATTTGGCCAGGTTTCCTCCGCACGCACGGCCGTGCACCGTGATCGAAACTCGCAGCTACAGGCATGGTGGACACGCGAGTTGTGTAAGCGCCCGTCTAGGTTACGAAGAGCACCACGTAGCTGTTTGTATGTATGTCGATGTCAAAGTGTTGGCCAGGAAGACCCAAAATCAAGAACGACACACGACGGCGACCAATGTCAGAATCCGCACTTTCGCCCAGTGTGAGTGAGAAACCATACATCTGGTGTTCCAGAGTCTTGGCAAGGTTGAATGTCATGGCACATCCGCGGCAGGCTTGCTCAACCGGGCTAGTATGTGAAAGCTGAGCCGAAACCTGCCAAGCAAAGGACCCTCATGGCCAGAAAACCGGCAGACAGATTCCATGTTCCCTGAGTGCCACGGCAGCACAGCTCTTGTGTCTGCTGCAGCTCCGAAACCTTCCGCGAGCGAATGACCTGGCATTGCAGGGAGCAGCTCCAGCAGTTTGCACACATGTGGGGACCTCTCCCTGTGGTTGGTTGGTTGGTTGGTTGGTTGGTTGGTTGGTTGGTTTGTTGGTTGGTTGGTTGGTTGGTTGGTTGGTTGGTTGGTTGGTTGGTTGGTTGGTTGGTTGGTTGGTTGGTTGGTTGGTTGGTTGGTTGGTTGGTTGGTTGGTTGTTTGGTTGGTTGGTTGGCTGGTTTCCTTTTGGTTTCCCATTGAAAAGGGGGTTCCTTTTGGTTTGCCAGTTGTTCACAACTCAAACGGCATACTAAAAAATCAAATGCGTTTACGGGCTCGAACCCAACGTTGTCCGCTGTCTCCCTCTGGTTACCTCCCTCTGGCTGCCTCTGTAGGATCACCTATTCAACTACCAGCTCTACCCAAACGTGCTTTGCGCGTCACTTTGGAACCTCCACTCAGGCAGTTGTGAGCTCCCTCCTTCGTCTTGTACATCTTGCACAAGATTTGGAGCTTGTAGATGCCCACAAAATCTAACCTTGGCAAACTTAGCGTAAGCTTGACTCCCCCTCCCCAGCCCATCCAATGAAGGCCAGTCAGTGCACTCAGCCATGGGCCCCTCATCATCCTGGGTGTCTCTGTAATTTCGCACCTGCCAGGCATTGACAAGCATTGACCCACACACACACACACGCGCGCGCACATACGTGCCAATGGCAATGTGAAGCACACCTCAGGAAGATGTCCTCCAAGAGATGTGATGTGTGTGTGTGTGTGTGTGTGTGCCGGTGTTTTCCCCTTTTTGTTTTGCAGTTCACCACTATTCACTGAGCACCCTGCGAAATCACGCCAGAAGGCCCAGTTCAGTACCTCGACTGAACCGGAACAAAGCGCTGCGCTTAGCTCCTTAAATCTGATGCAACTCGAAGATAGCTGACTGTCCCAATTAATTTCAACAATAGTAGGTGCATTGGGAAAGGCCGCTCGCCATGGGCCCGCAATGTGTTCAGTTTCCATGGGCTTCCCAACCGTCTGCCAAGCTCGTGAGCTTCGCGACTATGGATGCGCAATTGCCACCCTTTCAAGATAGTGAGTCTCTAAACATGTAAAACTTGCTTCACTAGAAACTGCACCTTCTAATGGGCGCATAAAGATATGGGTCGCAATACGACTAGGCGGCTTGCCATGAAGAGGCCGGAAGAAGCCATCAGGAAGCGCACGGCAAACGCCTTGCGATGTCAAAATGCACCCATGACAAGATGTCGACGTGGCCCTGCTCCAAGATTCTGGTACTTCAACCACGGCATACAACGCCGGTTAAGGCAAATGCCTGCCATCTAAACACGGGGAACATGGTCTGCGAATCTCTGCCGCACCCTTACCCACATCGGCACTACCGGGCCTGCTGCACATTGTACTCATAACCTGGGTGAGGCAGCTTGCCAAAACTAGCGGATGAGAATCGGCCAACCTTGAGTGGACTTGCTGATTTACCGTGGTGAGCAATTAGCTTGTGCCTCCCTTTTGTAGAGTCTGTGATGGCAAGGCCATGCCTCTCGATTCCTGCATCCGCTTTTCACAGTCATGTATGGCATTGCGAAAACGCAAAGTACTCAGAGGCTCTCGCGAGGCAACTCTGAACCGACTGGGAATCATTGGACCGCGGTTTGTGTGGGTCCGGGGTGCCCACCGTGTTCAGCCCTGGAGGCTTTTTGACAGCACCAGACTGGGCCTGCGGCAAAACATGAGAAGCAGCACAATGGTGTGCCACACCATGAGCAAGCAGCTGAAGCAAGTGAACATGGCCTTAGCATCGAAACTTCGACACATGGGCGGCTTAGAGCTCCGCTGCAGAAGCACTGCTCGCGTGGGAAACACCCCACGACGCAGATAGGACAAACGGGGACCCGGGTGACAAAAAACACAGCAGCGGGAGTGGCATCAAACATTATGAAAAACTGCTTGGTCTCAATTCTGCTTCTTTAGAACCTGGCATCTTGCTGAAAAGTATGCAGTTGGTGACATTGCAGCCTTGTCCCTAGGCCCGTGCTACGGAGCAAGACCAGTGGGATCGAGTCTGCAAGCACCTCAGCCCACCGGTCAAGGCTGCTCTCGCTTCCCCTGCAAAAGTATCCCATGAGATTCTTTACGCCATTGCTTGGCAAAGCAAGGCCCTTGATCCAGGTCTTGTGGGTCCTCCAGGCATGTCTCATGAAATGCGGATACCAGGCGTGTCTCATGAGGGTAAGATACAATAAGACTGCCTTCAGAGTCAAGATTGCCGCGCGGCAGCGCAAAGGGTACCGTCACCCAATAGACATGGAAGGACTCTTGTCAACAGCCTGGGCCCAATGTGCACATGAATGCAAAGTTAGCTGACGCCAGGGTGTGACACCCTTCCTCCATTGATAAAATCAAATCAAGCAGCAACACGAATCGAACGGCAACTGTTTCTTGTGTGTCAGGGAACTGGGTGCACTCGTGGCCATGGCGTGCTTCAGTTTCCCAACGGCGAATGGGTGCGGAGCCATGGTGTCATCTGACGTGCATTTGGCAAGCATCAGAGCGGAGTCTCTGGAAAAGGAATGTGCGTGTGGCTCGTTGTACAGGATTGGGCCACACTTCGTGCTGGCAGCAACATCGATCCACTAAACTGACCGACGTGCTAGGCAGCATGGCCCACGCTGGCCTAGGCGCCCCGCCCCATCCGCCGCAGGGCGGTGGACACATCTGCGCGCTTCAGGCGCAGGTAGCCTGCAGCTGCTTACCCTCGAAACCGTTTCGCCAGCCGGAAGGAAGCTAAACACGGGCCCGAGAAAACACCTTGGAGTTTTGTGAACATGGGGCCTCCAGAAAAAACAAGGCTCGGAATCCAGCCATGCTGGCAGTTGCATGCCAAGCTGGCAGGTCGTGTTTGGCGCAAGCTTCCTCCGGCAAGTGCCGTGCCGCTTGAAGACATCTCCACTCAGAGGTGCTGACCCCATACCAGCTGCAGGGCCCAAAGTAGCTTCAAGGTCGTCACCTTAGCACCATTTGGTGGTTTGGATTGGTGGTTTGGTGGTTAAGGGTTTGTAATTTACCCTTTACAAAAGCCAATGAAGGGATACCTGATTGAACCAGATGAGAAAACAACAGCAATGGCTGCGATCTTTCCAGTCCTTGTTCCGTCCAAGGGCAGGGCTGCCAACGGAAGGCACAACCTCGAGGGCTAACATCAGCATGTGTCGGACACTTGGGAGAACCGTCTCTGGGTTTTTCAGGAGCTTCGAGTGGCCGTTGGTGGTGGGGGGTGGGGGTAGGGGGTTAAGGGGTGGGGGTAAGGGGTTAAGGGGTGGGGTTGGTGGTCGGGGGTTGGTCGGGGGTGGGGGGTTGGGGGTACGAAGCACGGACTGTTGCACGTAATTTCTCGACAGGTATGGAAGCAGGAACCTTCTCCCAGTTTGCTTGCTTGCTATTGGAGGGTACGTTTCAAAGCCGCAGTCTCCAGAACAACACACCGAGGGCTGGGGCTCGCGCAATCTAACGAAAAGCCCTTTGGGCTGCAAGGATTCCGTGGAGAGGTACATGCACACCTGGGCAGAGCCATGTCTCGCACAGGCAAAGAGGCCCCAAGGACCAAGAGCCATGTGTTAAGCCAAGGAAGCCCAACAATCAGAGTTGGTGCCCGAACATAGGTGTCCGTTTTGGGAAAATAGATGGCCCTGGTAGCTGATTGAACCACCAGGCAAACCAGGGCCCTCGAATTTTCACCCAAATCAACCAAAAAGGTCACCTATGTGCCTGAACTGGGCAGGGGGCCACTAGTTGAAGCGCCTGACTCGCAAAAAAAACTGACGCTCCCCAGGGTGGCGAATGCACTGATTGAAGGATTGCCGAGGATGCAGCGGCGATGGAAGAAATCTCCAACACCTGAGCTCTTCCGTGCTGCATGGAACGCACACCCGCGCGAGTACATGTTTTTTTAAAGATGCATACAGGCCATGCCCAACTCATGGTGCACTACTTTGGAGCCCTTTGCCGAAACTTCTTCGAATCATTTTGAAGGGAATTTATGATGAATGGCAGGCTTTGTGCACGTGACCCCAGGCATGTCACTGGAATTGCTTTCAAACACTCCTCTGCAAACAACAAAACTAAAACGGCAAACTCTTCCGAGCTTGCCGCCGCTTCAGCCACGTGGAACTTGAGTCGACGTAGCCTCATGAATGGCATGAATGCAGCAGGTCAGGACAGTGAATGGCAACACCGCTGCCTTTCAAGCCGTGCTGTTGTCCCCTTCGCAAGAAAGTCAGAGCTATCAAACTCTCCGAAACCTTGCTGCGCGGAACATGCCATCGATTCCGGCAACAGAAAAGGCCCCCGTGCAGCAGGGGTTCGCCATGCCACCCCATCAAAGCCATGACCTGAGCTCAGCGGCGGGGTTTTGGACATGCGGTGCCCCCAGCACTTTGCTGCCAAAATGATTTGCCCCAGATGGAAACGCCAAAGCTCTGATGCGCACTGACCCGTGCGAGAGCCCCAAACGTGTCCCTTGAGGCATTGCCCCGCTGCACTTGCCCAGGTGCAGGATCTGTCGTCGTTGCCATGGCCTGCGCTGGGTGCACAAATCGAAAGCATCTCCGTTTACTGCTTTTTGCACAGCCAACAACAACCTCAGGTTTGGTTCAATCTGCATGAGGGCAACGCCACCCGCCAACTCGAGAGGCGCCAGCCTTTGTAGATCAAGTCTCTGCCCTGTGGCAGCACCCTCCCCTAACTATAGACTCACGCGCGGCAGCGGCAGGATCCAAGCATTCTCAAATGCGTGCCTCGCACTTGCTGATACCATCACACGCAAACACTTGTGCCTCGTAGCCAGCTCAGAATGCGCTTGGAAACGCTCAGCTGACATGCGCTTCTTTTGCAAGCTGCAAGCTACGCCCATCTTCAGAGGCGACCTCAATCTGCAAGCCAAGTTCAGCCCGTTGAATGATAATACCCGAAGTCAAAATGGCATGACAGCTGGTGTTGCATGCTGCTTGCCATAGCCAGTGTTTGCCAAATGCACCTGCCAGTTCAATGAAACATCCTGACACAACAGGGGGCTCAGAGCCATGCAAGGCAATGCGAAGCATCAAGATCGCCTGCAGTCTCAAGCATGTGGGCGGCCAGCAAACATCCGCAACTCTGGCATCCAACATGTGCAGCAAGGTATGATCGTGCCAATCAGCAAGCACCCCTCTCCATGCTGAGAAAGTGGCATGGCATTGGCCCTGGCAATGTCCTGGCGGGCATGTTAACCGGCAAAGGCCAAAATCGACCACTCCGCTGAATTGGCCACGAATTCAAGTGCACCGATTTGTAAACTCAGACCGGAAAAGTGGGCGTCGACCGACAGGACAACGCTGGGCAAATGTCGCACTGGACAGAGCACCAAACACCAGCCATGGCAAGAATGAACCCACTAATCCCTGATGCCAGACATGCCAAAAGGCATCCAAGCGCCTTCTTGGAGACACCTTTCTGCCGTGCCACTTCCAGCGCGGCACCTAAAACGGCCATGTCACTGGAACTGGTCCAACAGCAATGCCATGCACGCAGGGTCATTAATGAAGCCTTTAGTTGCATGGCCTTCTTCGGTTCATCTCGCCCTTTTCATGTCAGCTAGGCCATCCTCCCGGCTCGGTTCACATCTTGGGAGGCTGAGGCAGGCCGCAATCACCCGAGGCCACCGCAAAAGAATGCAGAGTTCCCAGAGAGGGCGGCAGACTGCAGGCAAGGCTGGCTCACCAAGTCCAAGTGGTCAGCAATTCTTGTCCCTCCATGGCCAACATTGCTTTACGTCGATTGTCGGAACTTGCTCATGCTTCGGTCGGTGTATTTCTTTGAGCTCTCCGGCTAAGAAAAAGCAACTGCCAAGCCACCTTGCCCCCCACCTCCAGTTGCCGCAGGGCTTCCTTGCGTGCCGCCTGCCAGTGCATTTACCCAAGCCAGCGCAAAGGCCCAACATTGAAGAGTAAGATCCAGTCAGTCCACTTACCAAGACCACGCTGCCTCCTGCATCGCAATTTCGACCTGCTCCTTTTGGACCTCTTCTGGCTCGGCCTCGGGCACTTGCTGCAAATCAACACCATAAACTCTCTGACTTGGCCATTGCACGTGCATGCCGGCTTGTATCACTGCAGCGCTTCTGTTGCTACAAGCGCTCGTGGGTTGAGGAACAGAATTTCGGAAGATGGACGCGCACATGATTGCGCATGGCAACCCCCGCCGAATCTGGGCTCATGAGGTGAACCCCCAAACGCAAAGCACCCCACTGAGACGTACATGTCCCCCTGCAATGGTTGTCATAATCTTTCAGAAAAAGGGTGCTCAAACTGCATTGGCCCAGTCCCCGGGCTTCAAGTTCCAGCCAGGCCCCCTGCCGCGGCACTTTGCGTGAGCTGCAGCTCTTCTGGCCGAATCTGAGTACGTCGGATTGCGGTTCTGTGCGCATCCCGGGCATGTGGAGCGCTTCAAGATCACCGCAAACTTGGATGGGCCCAAGCAACAAAGCGCAGAACTGCAGCCAGGCGAAGAAAGTCAAGGCAATGATCAAAACCGAGTCTCTGCGCTGAAACATGCAAGGGTATGGACCATTCTGAAGAAAGGCACACAAGCCCTCAAAGAATCATGGAATCATGTTCGGCCCTAGTGCCTTGATGCACCTCACTTGTGCCACTGGCTTCTGAGGCTCAGGACCCCCTGCAGCAGCTTCTCGCCGGAGCCGCTCACTGCCTTCTTTGGAGCCCCTTCCCGAACCAGGCAGATTTTTTTCTTTGGCGCCGGTTGTGACATGGAGCCCGTGGTGAAGTTGAGCAAGACTGGGCTTCAGAGGTTGGGCTTATTGGTGGTTTTGGCCGTAGCTTGTTGGCTGGCAGGTCAGGTGCCGGCATATTAGCAAGTACTTGGCAAGTACGCTTGCTTGAACTTGGTCCGTGAACGCGCGCCAACATCGAGCGTGCGCTGAACAGCACAGCAAAAGCCTCAAATACAATGAAGGCACACAGTGCAAGTTGAACAACCTGGCGGAAGTTACTAGAAATGCTGGGTCGTGTGCGAAACTTCTGAGCTTTATTGAGAGAGAGAGAGAAAGAAAGAAAGAAAGAAAGAAAGAAAGAAAGAAAGAAAGAAAGAAAGAAAGAAAGAAAGAAAGAAAGAAAGAAAGAAAGAGAGAGAGAGAGAGAACAAAAGAAGGCACACGGGTCTGTAGGTGTTCAAGCCGCCAAGGCTCACGGACCTGGGTACAGCGCAAAAACATGAAGCCGCCCCATGGAATGGCAGTGTTGGAGCCACCGAAGCCACCGGTTTCTTTTCGGAAGGTCTGCGTCAGCTCTTCCCCTCCAATGCGTTCCATGCAGTTGCCCCTTTCCGGGCAGAGCCACCGCGGAAGCCACGTGAGAATGTCAAATTCAATCCACTCATTTGGCAACTGATCTTCCAACCATTTGGCAATTGCAGGCTTGCTTTGACGTTTCATGCGCAACATGAAACAAATGCGCCAACCCTGTGCACGCGCATCGTAGGGGTTCCGCCTTGCGTGTCACAGCGGTTACTGTACAAGACTTGAAAAGGCAAACGCTTATGTTTCAACATACCGTGGGTTCCACGGATGCCACCAGTGAACCCCTAAACCAAGGTAGATCCTGCAATGGATGGATTTCTATGAGGCCCACTGTCGATCCGAATTCCCGAGGCGCCTGGGCCCAGCCCTCATTGTCAGACAGGCGAACCCAGCCGTGATACCTCACGAGTGAGCGGGCGTTGCATCGGATCTTGAGAGGCTTGTGCCTCCCAATGGGTCCTGCTCTGCGTAAGTCAGCAGGTGAGTGCGAGGTGTCTGAAACATGTAAACCCACAGGCAGCCCAGGCCCATCAAGCCATCTATCAATAAGAGCTGTCAGGAGAGAGTGCACTCATGCAGGACTTGCTGAAGGATGGGTGTGAGTTCAACCCATCAGATTTGGACGTACTACTGTCTTGGTCAAGGATGACAGCTCTGATGATTGTTACGGAGGTATGGAACGGAGGTCCTTCTCAAACAGGTATGAAAGGGAGAAAAAAGGGCTTGAAAATTTCTTGAAATAATTGCAACTGGAAGACAGGGCTTGTCACTTGCCAGATCCAGCTCGAAAGTCGCAATTTGGCGGGGCATGTACCTCCCTGCTACTTGTTGCACTGAAGACTTCTCTTCTTCTGAGGGGCAAGCTCTCTGCAAGTTGACTCTGCACAAGAGCCAACATTGGGGAATCCATCGCAGTCTGGGTGCGCATAGGGACATGCACCGGCGGAGGCATGCAACCAGCCATCGGTTATGAGTTATGCCCTGTAAGGAGTGCAAGGTGGTATGTAACGAGCGGGTATGCGAGGAGCCGGGCGGTCTTGTCATGCGGCATGAAATGGGGTATGTAACAAACGTCTGCCCTGGCACTGTTACTCAGCAAAGCCAAACAGAATAAACTTGGACTGAACATTTCTGAATGCGACGGAACATCAAATACCACAAGCCCACAATGGAAGCAAGCAGGTTCCTATTCAAACCATGGTGCAAGTGGTGACAATTTTCACCTCACACCCAAGCGCAAAATTGCTGTCGGGATTTCTCGGGCTGTGCCACATGCTGCTTCAAAAAAAGCCTCAGGAACGGGCGACTGGGAGTCTGCGAGCACGAACTCCCCAAAGCTCCTCAATAAATGTCGCCGCGTGTCGCACACGCCACCCGCAAACGTGGGCATTGGACGAATCTTGTGGCACAGCTGGCAGGGCCGTGTTGGCAAACTAGCTTCCTTTTGGGATGATTGCCCGTGGCAAACGGCCAAAGTTCAGGTGTCCCACCAACGGCCAAAGTTAGGCAATGCCCTTTTACTCAACCAGGAGTTGTTGTCTCAGAATTCACATGTTCACCCATATTGACCCATTGCTTTGAACACCATCTCGAAAGGGGTCCATGGGCCAAAATCCGCCGACATTGTTCGGCGTGTCGGATACCTAAGAGAGGACTATTGGATACCTAAGAGAGGATAGAGGATAACCCCCCCCTGAGTCCCCCCCCGGGACACGTCAAATACGCATGGTTTTTCGGTCGCCACCCCCCCCCGCGTACCGCGCGGCAATTTGATGACGTTCCACTAAACGTAGTCTTCGGGGAGCGGGTCTGGAGAAACGGGGGTCCCAGGCTCGAATCCTCCCGCCGCCTCTTTCTGCCGGCTGAGGTTTTGTGCTGCCTTTTGCGGAAAACTTTGAGACACACGGTGTTCGGTGTTTTTCCTTTGCTGACACCATTGAAAAAAACAGTGTGTTTTCCGATTTCCTTGACACTTGGCACCAATTTCCCCCCAATTTCCCCTAATTTCCCCCAATGCTTCCCCGCAAATTGCGCCTTACTTTCTCACCAATTCCCTCCCACTTTCCTTTCAATTTCCATCCGACTTCCCCCCAATTTCCCCCCCAGTTTCCCCCAAATGTCCTGGCAAATTCCCCAACCCCAGCTTCCTTCCAAGTGTCGCCCCCAATGTCCTTCGTGTCGGATACTTGGGCCATGCTAAGCCACGCTTCTCGCAAGCAAGAATGCCGTACAAGGGGCAACCTCAACACCCCTCAGAAATCAGCTTATCCGCGCACCCCGCCAAAATGACATGCAGTGGCCATGACATACCACCCAGCACTAAGGTGCCCTAAACGGCGAGCCTTCCTGTTCGCAATTGTACGCCCTGTTTGGTCGCCGCCCTTTCCCAACATTTTACTTGGAGGCATGGTTCGGCGCCCTTTTTGGGAGCACCCTCTTGGTGGCACTCAACACTCCGCCGACATTGCTCGGCGTGTCGGGGAGAATGGGGGAACCAGAGAGGACAGAAGAGCATACTAGGGGGACACGGGCGAGAGGAAGAAGGAGACAAGCTAGATGCCAATGTCGGCGGACTGAGCCGGAGGCTCTAAAGTTTAGGGCCCGCCATGACACCCTCTGTCACAACCTTGGTTTGGTCAAAGCTACATAGCGAGTGCCTCGATCAAAATATGCACTCAATAGCATGCAAGCCACCTGGTACACGTTAAGATTCTTGGAGCCTTGCCCACATTATGTTACAGTTCTGAAGGTGACTCCGCTGAAGTTGGGCAAGCCTGTCCTTCTGCCAAGCAGTAAGGCACCATCGAATGGCTCCTCAGGCATCAAACTTGAATGCTGTCAGATGCTCAGGATGAGCAACAAACTGGCAACTGTGCAAATCATGCACGCGATGTCGCAATCTGTGCAGCCTACTTTGTACAGCAGCCAGTTTCGCTCCCTGCAGGCGAGGTCCGAGCTCCAGCAAGGGCTAAGCTTCAAGCTCGCAGGATGTCCACGCCATCATCGGCAACCACCTGGCGTGCCCTAGAAAGTTGCAGCCATGACATGTGCACCCGCTTTGCAAAAAGCAACAGTTGCACAGCTCAGGGCCAGAACAGTTGGACACCATTGCGCCACTCTCATGCTAAGTTTGATGCGGACTGCATCATGGCTTTTAGCCCGTGTATCCTCAAGAAGTGAGCGGCCCAGCTACTGCAATTGGAGTACAGCCCCATGGGTGCCCCATGGGCAACTCCTTGAGAAGCAGCGCGCATGTCACAGGATCAATCAGTCGATTCAAAACACACCATTGCCATGCGATCGAATCGTCTGCCACACGAGTCGAGTGTCCAAGCTTAGCCAGGCGACAGAATAATATGCATTCCTAGCATCAAAGCCGCAAATGGCACAGGCTGGAAGGCTTGCAAAGCCTGCAGTGCGCTTCAGCTAGTCTTTTATTCTGGTTCATGCAGGCCCTGCCACAAACGCAGCTTGGGAGGTTTCGCGCTGCAGCAGTGGCAAAGCCAAATACTAGCCTGTTCGAAGCGCATTGGGCCTTATCGCAATCCGTAATCCGCATATCACAATCCTTATTCTGGTTGGAAGTCTTCGTAATCCGTAGTCCGCACTGCAATGTGCGATTCGAAACCTTGTGCTGGAGCGTAAACTCATGCAACCAAGAATTCGCTACTCGTCAAGCGGGAAAGCCAAATAGCATCATCCGTAAACCGCACAACCCGCAATCCGCGAATCATTGGGGATAACAGCGTCACGGTTCCCTGCTCTCTTGGCAAGGGCTTCCAGCTATGCTGCAAGACCCTCACGCACATGGCCTGTTTGGGGAAGCTGTGGCTTTGCCACCCCTTGCTTCAAGCATTGAACTGCAAACCATCCACAGTGTCTAACAACCACGATCGTTCTGCCGTGTCCGTGCCCTTGCAGGCCTTCACTTGAAGTCGCAAGTGGATGGCTCAGGGTCCGCTTAACCTTAAGGTTCTCAAAGTGGTGCTTCGCGTTGGTATATAAGTCCAAGTCCCGACCCCGCACCAACGCGCAACCCCACAAGCGTGTCTGATGTCCGCGCCTCCAGCATCTGCCTTCCGGGCATCTTCGCCAGGGTCTCCACCGCCAAAGCCTCGGCGAATCTGAACGAGGGACGGGTGCTGACCGTGCTGACCTCAGGGTCTGTCAGCGTTCCTGTCCCAGGACCCCTGTCCCCTGTATGACTTGCTGAATTTCTCTGGGGGTCGGACCCTCGGCTTCTCAAGGGCCTGGCAACGCTGGCAAGGTGGGGGCGGGCCATGAGATGGACAGCTCACGGCAGCAAAACGACCCCGACAACTGACAACCCCCTGCTTCGTGATTCTCTGAAATTGCCGCACGCAAGAACAACATCATCACGTCTGGAACGCCAACGAACCAGTTGGAGTTGGAGCCACAGTTGGTGCTACCAGCCCCCTTTTGGCTGCAACCATTGGACCCCACATCATACCCGTCTGCCTCCAGGCACTTCTTTTGGCTTGGAGCCTCCTCAAGGCCCTGCAGGGACACTATGAATTCAGCGTAAGTCTCTAAGTCGGGAACAGAAATGGGTGCTCGTGACTCAGCTGCCTGGCAGGCAGCCCTAACGGCTTCGTGGCTTCGTGGCGTGTTGACTCACCACCAGAGTTGCGAGGGAGTTCTCTCATTTCCTACAAGGCATGCTGACCATGTTGAACCAAAAATGGCCCTGGACTGGACCTGTTTCCATTCAGCCCGTCCACTGCAATGCTGGTCAGTTCATCATCCCTTCTTTGCCCGCTTCATGTCCTGGCATATCCAACCGTCCTCACCAGCCAGCTTCACCCAACCTGAGGGGCATGGGTTTTCATAGCTTCGGGCCGGGCAGTTTAATGCCAATGCTCCGAATGCTGCCTGCACAAGCGCATGAGACGGGAGCTCGTGACTTAACATCTAATGATAGCAACCTCTCATCTTACATTCTTCCTACCGCATTGCAACCGGGGCTGTGCGATTCTTTGCACGCGGAGCCTGATGAATCCTGTGGGAGGATCATTCCTCCCGGTGCAATCGCATCCAGCCCTGGAAGCACTTCTGGATGCATTCAGGGCAGCAGACCATTGACCTGAGGTTCTGGCCGTCGAAAGTCTCCTGGGACGAGCCATGCCACGTTCACCCCGCTGGTCATGCAGAGTCACACACCGAAGCCAAATCAGACCTCAAGCCAAATTCTTCCTCGAGCCACTAAAGGCAATGGCCTTGCTCAAAAAAGTCAAGCAAAGTCTGATTAGGCATCCCTTCGCACACCCTTCGCACACCCTTCGCACATCTTCGCACACTCTCCGTGCTTCCCCGCCCTCGTTGGAAATCTAAAGCGTGGCGTTGCTGGTTTTCGCGCTCTAGGCTGGAGAAGCCCGTGCATGGTTAACGTGAATGCCTTCATGCGGGGGACGCATTCTCACCAGGAGAATGTTTTACGCGCAGGCCCAATCGCGGGACATCAATGCGAAACAAACAAGGATGACTAAAGAAACACATCCTCCAAGAAATGCAGAGGCGCACACAAGGTTGGCTGTGCGAACACAAGCAACTGACGCCCCGAAAAAGAAGCAACCAACGTGGCTAAAAAGAGGTTGGCTTCCTTTTTCGTGTCGGCTGTGGGGCAAAAGGTTTTCTAGTCGACAAGTCCTTTGGATGCTTTTGACGTACTGCGACATCCACACCTTTGTTGGATGAGTGTCCTATGGGCGGAAGACACGTCAAGATAGCAAGCACCCTGCTCTCACATACAGGAGGAGGGCAATGATCATGACAAGGAGGGAACAGGGGAAAGCTGGTGCCAGTTGTTGCCAGTCGGCACAGAATGCACGAAGTGAGAAGTGCCCTCCTCCACTGCGCGTAGAGAATCTCCCTTCTTCCGGCCACCGCGCACCGGCGCCCCCGCACAAGGCCTCAGCGCGCCATGCAAACACATTGACAGGACGTCTGTAGCTGGGCTGCAAGAGTTTTCTGCAAAGTTGATCTTATGCTCTGCCCACAGGTGCGGCGACATGTGCGAACCGTCTTGCTGTCGCTATTTCCGAGCAGAAAGTAAGGTGCACCAGCAGCCATTGGAAGTCACCGTGCCTGTATCTGCAGTTGAGTTGCTTTGCGACCAGTGTGACGCCGCAACAAAAAAGCTGACATACCATTCATCCTCAAACAAAGTCCGCTTGGATGGGCCAATTTACTTGCCTCAAGCGCTGTCTGATAGCTTTTTAAATTTCTGGCGGTATTATGCTTCTGGTCGCGTGGGGCAAGCCTGTTTCACAGGTGCCCTGAGCGGTGTACAGGTCACGCCGGACCCACCATGGACTTTCCTTCCGTTGCCCTCGCTTGTGGACAAGGCAAGGCCACGTTCGACATGGAAAAAATGGCATGAAGATGCAAGGCCGGAAAGATCGTGCACTTACGCTGTGAAACTGTCAAACAGCTGCTTGCCGGCAACAAGGACAAAGCTGCCTGGAAAGGACCAAAGGCTTTGGCCCAAAAGCCTCTTAGGAGCTCTTGGCCAATCTCTAAAACACCATGCAGTCAAGGCTTCAGAATATGTTCCTGGGCCGGTTGCCGCAACGCTTCAACTTGCTGCATGACTCGCGAAAAGTGCATACCGTTGTACATATCAAATGACTCCATTCGAGGCCCCTGGATCCTTCCGTGCGAATTGCCAGCCAAGCTTCTTCGATCCGCTGCTGCTTGTGCACAAGATCCTGCCAGGGCCAGAACTTCAGCCTCGCAAGCACACCTCAATGCTTCTGGAACGAAAGAAGCGTGTTGGCGCACGAAATGGAGTTGGGCAAGTGCATACCTGCACGGACTGCCCGGGCGAAGCAACAATCCAAAAAACCTTGGCTTTGAGCACTTTACTTGCACGCTTGGACCGAAACTGATAGACACTGCGTAGCTCTCAATTGCTCGCCAGCCCCCCGTCCTGGAGCGTGTACGCAATATTTGTCAAATCCGTGTCTGGATCGGATGCTCTCCCCCAATTGCCTGGTGCCAGGCGAAAGGCAAGCAAAGAAGCAGCTTCGCCATTCGTGTGCTATCGGCGAAGTTTGACACCGCTGGTTGGGCGGTGCGTTCTGCTTTTCTTGTGGTTTGACTGCTGCTTTTGCCCTTTGCACCCAACGCCTCGCCTATACTTGGACATGCAACGTTGATGCCCTGCATATTGCAAGGAATCAAATCTTTCAATCCTCCCTATTTTACCACGTGGTTGGACGTGGGGTGGTGTACTTCCAATAACACGGGCTCCACGATGGCAAGCTGGAGCACCACCAAGCCTCCCGTCATCTCCACCCGCACCCGCCTCGGAGTTGCAAGGTCAGCAGCTAGCATGGGACATGACACGCCGTACCAACAATTCGGTGATTTACTGAATGGAATGCGCAATGTCTGTCCATGTCTGGGAGTGCCGAATTCCGAATTCGCCAACGGGGCTCTCCCATTCCGGGGAATACCTTGCATTTCCAAGCCAGCCCGCGTTGCCCACGCTCTCGCTTGGCCGAGCTGCTGGTGATTCAACTTCAGCTCGCACCGGGAGACGCAGGTGGTAAACACGAAACGGTTTTGAACTGCGGAGATGAAGTCGCCCATGTCAGAGAGGTCCACCAGAAGCATCTGTGGCTGCGTGCTTGACGGAGCACTTAGGAACCAAATTCAATAACGGCGTCTCTTGCACACTAGAGCCAGGGTTCCTCGGGAGGACCAGCCGTTTATGATCGACTTGCTCTTATGGAGGCATTGCACGAATTGTCATGAGCTCGCGCGAATTGGAAGTAGCCCTGTGCATGGAGAGTATGACCTGGGTAGAGAGCCCTACGTCTTTCTCCCCGCCACCGTGCTTGCCGCGCCTTCGGAATGTTGGGGCTTGCAGCCGCCTGCGGGGCAGGTGCAGTCTGGCCTCGTTATTCTACTAATCCAAGTCACCCCCTAAGTGGTGGGTGCAAGGGAAACAACCCCTTCTGACTTTGAAAAAAAACAACAACAACTAGAAACAGTTAAACTAACGATCCCAGCCAGACGGGATGCTTCGTGGCACCCTTCCGCCTATGCCTAGGCATGCCCGGAAGCGAGAAGCATCCACGCCTTGGCACGCAAACAGGAGAGGATGTCAGTGAGGACGTCCAGCAGGCATGTCAAACCAATAAGTTTGTTCGCCTGCACAGCGCTGCACTTGGTCTCTCTGAAGGGTACCCTTTGAACTTGGTAAAGGTAGACCGACGGACAGCTTAACCATTTGAGGGTGTCCATATTCTTTCGAACACACTCATTTGGCAAGAAAACAGCTAATCATACAAGTCTGCCACAATTGCGAAATATTGCAAATTTCAACTAGTTGGATCTCAAATGATCTCAACCTGGCAAAGTCCAGGAGATCTGCTTACAATGGCGCAACCAGGCCTGCGCGCTTGCCACGCAGTTGGGCAAAAACTCCAGCACAAACGCCTGCTCCTGAGCTGTAGCTGCAACCCCCGTCTTGGTCATTTAAAAATTGATCCAGCGATCATCTCACCACGGCCGGTTGCAAACGAACCGCAGCTGAACCTATTTATCAACAAGCCGCTCAGCGCCAAAACATGCAGGCAGCGGTTCAGGATTCCACAAGCACAGGGCACAGGGACCTGGTATGAAGTGAACAGCAGGAAGCCAGCAGGGGATCACCCAGAGATTTTGGGAATAAACCAAAACAAAAATCCATAAACAAGTCGCAAGGGATGGCTTTTGTGGGGGGCCATTCAGCCCCTCATCCCTGAGAGCCAGAAAGCAGGGGTGCAAATTTCGATTGCAGCTATGATTTTTACTTGGGGACCCGAACTGGTGGGCATGACAATTCGGGGGATTTTTCTGTCAACCAACCACAAACTTCGCTTTTCAGGGGGGTCCAAGCATGGAAGGCTCATGGCCGCCGCGGAAAAAAATAAAAAAAAAAAACACCTCGTCGCCTCTCCTGAATGCCATCTGCCAGGAAGTGGTCCGTCAGCGACCTCCGCTCCCGAAGGCCCAGCTCATGCCAGGCGCGGCGCAGCAACTCGTAGCCCTGCGGTTTCGCGGCTTCGGCTTCGCGGGCTGTCGGCTTGTGCCGAAACCGTGCGCGGAGGCGCCAATGGAAACCCTCAGATTTATGTGGTGAATTGTGGTGAATCCTGGTGAATCTTGGTTTCCTTGAAGGGGACCAATGCCTGGGTTCATTCCCACATTGAGCAGCAGAAAGTAATGGTGGGGTTCCTTTCAAGTCCTGTTGAAAGTGCGCAGCTGCAGTTCTGAATCAACAAAAATAGAAGTGTCATAAAAACCAGGCGCACAGTGGGAGGGTCTGCCCATCAAAATGGATGGAGTTTCAAACCAGCATCACCAAACAGGCACCGGACTTGCAATGCAACCCTTTTAATTGTACATATACAAGGCACAAGGATGGGGGGGTTCGGGGTGGCGGCACATCCGCTTTGTTCACCAGCATAGGCAGAAGGAGTATGCCAAAGAATGTGGGAGCTGCTCACGAGCCGAACATCGAGGTGCCAGGCAGCTCTGCTTCCGCAAGCCCGCGTCACCCAGTCCCTGGCCTGTCCTCGTCTCACGTTGCAGAAGAATCGCACAACTTGGAGCTTCAAAAGGCTACACCTTCCTTGAGCTTCCCCCTCAGCAAAGCAAGTGTCAACAAACAACTTGTTCTTGGCTTTCGGACGGCTTCCCGTGTTTTCATTCAAATTGCCAAACTTATGACTGTTGCTGTGGCCAAACCGGTACGATACTTGGAGCTTGGACAGCGCGCCTTCTGGTCTTGCACGCGGGCCAAGCATGCTAAGCGGACCAGCACCAGGTCCTGGCGAAGCCGCGGGTGAAAATGTTGCATTGTGCCAACCAGTGAGCATGCGCAGGCTAAGATACTCCCCTGCAGGCTGCATGAACGTGAGCCTTCGTTCGTAGCCTCACACGTGCTCTGTCGCTCCTTGGGCCCTGTGGTTCTTGTGGCGTTGAGTCTGGTAACGGGGGTGTGGACCCAATGCGCGGCGCTAAGGCTTGTTACCTCCCAACCGCAGGCCGTGCCCTTGGGCACGGCGCGACCCTTTCTTGTTCTCTTCTTCTTCTTCTTCTTCTTCTTCGCTCCTGCGCAGTCCTTGCGTCGGCCCCACGCCGTGAGTTTTTTGGGTTTGGCCCCATGCTACTTTCCATGATGTTTTCTGTGGCCTTGCTGTGCTGATTGGACGCCTTTACGTGGCTCCACAAATGGACCAACCTGCCAGCCAGCCAGCCGCAAACCCTCGTGGCCACCCGCCACATGCACACGTCCTCTGGCGAGTCGAACGGCAGGGCCAGTTTGTCTGCCCGGAGGGCCAGGTAGCCCCAATAGATGGCCTTGGCACAAGGTGAGGTGGACGGCGAAAGCCGACATCCAGAGAAATGAACTACTTTCGGATCCTTTGCCCTGCTCAACGATTGAACAAATGCAACGGAGTGGAATGAAGAGATGTGATCGGGGCTGCATCTAGTGGGATAGGCGTGCTGTGCCAAGGTGAGCGGAATCGCTCCGCCGTCGATTATATCAAATGTTGAGCTGAATGGGCTGCTGTCCTGATTGTGGGCACCGTGCACCGTAATTTGTCAAGCGGTGTAGTCCCTGCGAATTACGAAAGAAGGTCCAGGGCTCGGCTTAACCGTCGACCAAATCCGCAAAAGCAAAAGAAAGCTACGTGGGCGGCCGACGTGCACCTCCTCTCTGCGGCCACATGGGGGTTGATCAAAAGGTCCTTTACATTGGATGACCAGTGTGGAAAGCCACAAAATGATTTGATACTTCCCGCATGGGACAAGTTACGTATGGCCATCATCCATTTGCTAACACACGCACACATATAAATATATATATATATATATATATACATATATATATATATATATGGAAAACACATAA